CCGACATGTTAACAGAGATGGAGAACTCAGTTTTGACTATATAACAAGTGAGCAGAGAGTAGAAGCTATATCTACACCGCAGGGATCGATGAAGGTAATTTAAAATTGTCAAACAAACCATAATTGGCAAAGAAAAACAGTCTATTCAAAATAAGCTCATTCACTGCCATTTCCCTATAGATGGATGTCACAGATCTCTCGTTTCAACGCCCTCCACCTGTAGGATCAGCAGCAGTATGTTCTTCTCTTAATTTTTATATCAGATTTAACATTTTCATTTACTTGAGAAACTCAATTGTATGAGCATTGCCTCTGTGAATTCTGTGTTGAAGGCATATTCTCTGATGCAGGTAAATGCAGATCATAGAGAAGAGCACCCGATTTCAAACCGAGATCGAAGAACGAGCAGTCATTCAGCACCATTGTTCCCAGAAAAGAAATCTGATTTAGCAGATAGATTGATGAGGCAGATGACTCCGTCTGCAAATGCTTACGTATTACCAACTCCGGTCGATTCAAAGTCATCATCAATCTTCCCAAAACCCGTCACCCAAACACACCACAGTGCAAACTTATGGCATTCATCTCCGCTTGAACCGATAAAAACCACTCAAAAAGATGCGGAAAGCAACCTCTATTCCCGTCTTCCCCGTCCTTCAGAAACTCAGTTTTCTCAGCAAGAAGCCCCAACAAGACATGCATTTTCTGGACCGCTCAAACCATCCTCAACCCGCCTTCTGGTTCCAGTTCCAGTTCCAGTTCCGTCTCAGGCTCCGTCATCTTCTCCAAGGATCTCTCCTACCGCTTCACCTCCCCTCGCTTCTTCTCCACGGATCAACGAACTCCACGAGCTTCCAAGACCACCAGGTCAATCTGCACCACCACGACGCTCGAAATCTCCCAGTCTAATCGGTCATTCCGCGCCATTAGCGGCTTGGAATCAAGAAAGAAGCAATGTAGGTACATCCACCATCACCATTGTAGCATCACCACTTCCGGTTCCACCTTTAGTTGTATCAAGAAGCTTCTCTATACCTTCAAGAAACCAGAGAACCATGGCTCAACAACCCTTGCCCGAGAGGAACCAAGACAGAGTAGCGTCTCCACCGCCTCTGCCTCTAACTCCAGCGTCTCTGATGAACCTCAGATCGCTGTCTCGGTCTCAAGTCGGAGAAGTTGCTCAGAGCAGTCAACTGAGAGGTAACGAACAAAAACCGACTTGCTCTTATTGTTAATCTTGGATCTGCAATATCTTCTTCATCAATAGTTTATTAAGACATGGGTTTGTTTTATGTTAACACAGGAGTAAAGGTGATTGAACGATGAAGCTGTATCAAAACGTAGACACAAGTAAATATAGAAGTCGATATTTTGTAATTGTTGTAGTTGTTGAATCTCCTAATTTGTCTGCTGAGAG